GCCTTCGGCTCAGGTCATGATCTCAGGGTCGTGGGATCGAGTCCCACATCGGGCTCTCTGCTCAGCGGGGAGCCTGCTTCCCTCTCTCTCTCTGTCTACTTGTGATCTCTCTCTGTCAAATAAATAAATAAAACCTTTAAAAAAAAAAAAAGATTTTATTTATTTATTTGACAGAGATCACAAGTGGGCAGAGAGGCAGGCAGAGAGAGAAGGGGGGAAGCAGGTTCCCCACTGAGCAAAGAGCCCGATGTGGGGCTTGATCCCAGGACCCTGAGATCATGACCTGAGCTGAAGGCAGAGGCTTAACCCACTGAGCCACCCAGGCGCCCCGGTCCTGATTTTTTAAAAAACTTACCTTCTGATGGCAGAATTACTTATAAGATAAAAAAATAAACAATATAATTGGCGTAAACAAAAGTATTGTGGAAACAGAAAGGAATAAAAGACTATCTAAGGGGGCCCCTGGGTGGCTCAGTCAGTTAAGCCTCTGACTCTTGATTTCAGCTCAGGTCATGATCTCAGGATCGTAAGATTGAGCCTGTGTCGGGTGTGGAGCCTGCTTAAGATTCTCTTTCTCCCTTTCTCACTGCCCCTCCCCCCCCACACTTGATCTCTCTCTCTTAAAGAAAAAAAAAAAAGACTACTTAAGTTTTTTAATGTATAATATCAAATAGAAGTGAAAGTAAGAGACTATCAAACTCCCACATACCACCGCTCTGCTTCGATCGTAACCCTCTGCCAACTTTCTCTTCTAAATCTACTCATTACCTTTAAGACATCATGTTATTTCATCCACAAATATTTCAGCATATATCTCTGACAGGGACTCTTTCTTTAAACACAGTATGAATCTGAATTGTGAAAACAAAGTTTTTAAGATGTGAGGTATAATTTACATATAGTAATAATGCACAGATCTTAAGGTGTTCAGTTGAATTCTAACACTTGTATAGCCCTGTATAACCACTACCCAAAACAAGATATAGAATGTTTCTATGGCCCAGAAAGTTCCCACACACCTTCTTCTAGTCAATTTCCCACACTCAGATGACCACTTCATGATTTCTGTTCCCATAGATAACTTTTGCCCATTCTTGGACTTTTATAAATGAAATCATAGAGTATGTATGAATAAGAGGTTTCTAGTCCAAGAAAAGGAAAAACCATCTCTGGAGGACAGAACTACACGTATAAAATACAAATGTATATTCACAGAATGCTGAGAAGCTCAAGAGGGATAAAAACCAGGATTGGGAGTAGACAAGTCTAGAAGAGAAGGCTCAATGGAGAGCTAGGGTTTCTGGATTAAATTCCATAGTTAGTTCTGGGAATGAAGTCATGAAATAAACTTATCCCGATGCACAAGCATTTCTCTGACCTTAAAAGTTGGTCAATTCTCTCAGCACCCTCCTTCCTCCTCAACCTCCAGCTAACGGTGACCAAGATGGCAGAAGCAAGCTCTACCCCCAAGCCTCTTCACTAGCATCTTGTGCTGAGGCTCCTCTGCCATCTCAGGGAAGGAACAAGCCTCCCCAAACCCCCCATCACCCTTCTTAGGAGAGGGCACATTTTCAACAAGCAATCCCAAGTCTCAGGGGCAGCCTTACCATTATCTGGATTTCTCTCTTGCACACCTGGAGATCATGCTCATTGTTGACAAACATGCGTTTCAAGGCACATTTCATTCCATTGCTTGTCCTCACCAGAAACACGATGGCAAATCCACCTATGAGGGAAACATACATACAAGCTCTCTGAGTCATGTTCAAAAAGCCAGTCAGACAACCACGGTGGCTGCAGCTTTCTGCTGTCACTGTTAATGGTACCGATGCCATCATCAGCTGGGCCTAAGGGCTGGCCTGGCCTAGAAGGCACTCTTGGATTCAAGGGTCTCAGGGATATTACCATGAGATTGGATGGCAAGAGTCAGAAAAACTGCTGAACACCTATGTCAGGAAAAGAGAAGAGTAGTAATTATCTTGCAAAAATCCTACCAATAAACAGATGAACAAACAGATGGAAGAAAAAAGAAATATATTCCAACCACTGTCCTAGGCACTTTGAGTTCTTACTGAATTCTTACTACAATCCTGTGAAGCTGGGTATTATTTCTCCCTTAAGGACAATGACTAGCTAGAGAAAACAGAGGCTCAAAGAGATTAGATTCAACCAAGAACTTAAAAAAAAAAAATTAATTCAGCACTTAACCAGAGAGGCTTGGAAATTATTTTAATAATTGTATAATAACAGTTGTCAAATTCAAGATGCTTTCTCTTCCTTCTCAACCCTCCTCACCCCTCCCCCAACTTCGATCGACAAGTGACCTTGAGGATTTCTCCTGTTTTTCCTGCCTTATGGGCTACTGAGAAGACACAAAATATAGGTATCAAAGTGTTCCTCAACACAGCAGACACCAGGAAAGTATAACTCAATTAGTGGGCAGATGTTTTAACACCCACATCAAACCTTTCTCTTAAAGACCAAAATTCATTAAAAATTTTTTTTTATATAACTCTAACAGAAATCCTCAAATGCTCTGGATTGGTTACACCTTAGCATTCCACAGATTCTTAGAACTCCCTCCTTCGATCTCATTCCCCAAACACTGTAGGAGGTGTTCAGTGCCATTGTTAACGGGGATTATAGAGAGATACGGTGCTGCAAAGCTGTCAAAGCTGAAGGCTTTGGGATAAGCATTAGTAAGACTGGGCACTTAGTCCATCTGTCTGCTCATAGACCATCATAATTTAGCTTGAACCATCCCGCGTATTGACCCTGGGTAGTAGCAGCAGCAGCAACAACAACAAAGTTTCAAGGCTATTCTTTGTACACAGGTGATCCTTGATAGGGTGGAGAGGGACACAGAGGGAAGTCACCAGTGTGGGAAGTTGAGCAGAGGCTCTGGTGTAGTGCTGAGGCTAGCAGCCACATGCAAAACTGACAGAGAGCAAAAGCAGTGACTCTCTAGATCGTGAGGCAGAAAACTGGAGTCCTGTTGAATCTCCCCCTACCTCCTCTGAGGCCCAAGGGCACCTGAGCACCTGTCTGTTGATGCCCGGGGCCATTTCCTGGTGTAGCCTCACAATGTGCATTCTTTTCCAAGTCTCCTTGTCTAGGTTTCTGCAACTTATAACCAAAGAGAGCCTCAATCGGAAAGCACTCTTGCATGTTTTCATCTGATACACACATTAATTCTGTGTTTACAAAAACGTTAGTGGGCTCAAATGTTCCAAGTGTGCATGTTGACAGTGTCTACCAAACGGCATGTTTGTACATTTCCTATCATAGCCTCCTTCTTCAGAGTCAGGTGAACATGGAGATTCGCCGTGACGTCTTTAATTTCCAGTCATCTTGAATCTTTGTGTCTCAGTAACATTTCCCATTTTCTTGTAATACTTTACGGTCCATTCACACTGCTCAATTGTCAATTTTAATTCTAGAAATTCACTTTAAAAATTTGTTTACAACACTACCATGTACTGACAAGTAGGGGTGTTATGACATACAGACACAATCTCCATTTTAAGACGCATATTTTTTCACATTCAAATTTTTAGGATATTAGAATTTTTCTTGCGATAAATATGTACATTGAATGCAGTAGTTGATCTTCTTTTCCCCAAAAAGCTATTAAATTCATGATGTGTCTTATTTCCAATTAGAATCAGAAATGCTAATATAAATTATTAAATGTCTATATGTATTCATAATTATTTTGTGAACAGCCCAAGTAGTCATTTTATAGATATTTCAATTTTTAAAGAGATATTTATTTATTTATTTATTTGAGATAGAGTGTGAGAGAGAGCACAAGGAGGGCAGAGGGAAAGGGAGAAGCAGGCTCCCCCGCTAAGCAGGGGCCCTAATGCAGGGCTCGCTCCCAGAACCCTGGGATCATGACCTGAGCTGAAAGTTGACGCCTAACCGACTCAGCCACCCAGGCACCCCAGGTATTTCAATTTTTTTTTTTTTTTAAATCACAGGTCTACAGACTTTGTATCAACAGTGCTCCTAGAGAGAATTAATCTTAGCCTTTTGCTTTATGAAGAGACAAACTGAGTGAGGCTTAGGAGTCCCACGGCTAATTACGCAGAACCTGTCATTCTGCTGACTGTCCAAACAACGCTCTTTCCACTTTATCCATCTCAGAGAAAGTCTGTGTCACAGCCCCTTTAGATACTAAGGAGACACCAAACAGTGCTGCAGACCCTGAGGTGGGAAGGGCCATTTCTACAGTTCTGCGACGCACGGAACCACCGGAGGACAGGGCAGTCCTTTCGGAAGCAGGCTGAGGATGCAGCAATCTGAGACAACTGCCACCAGATGGGAGCAGTGTAGTTTTCTTTGCCAGGTAGCAAGATGACCTTTCCAGATGAAACTGAAGAAATGTGACAGATGTCTACGTCACGATCCAGGCAAGCACAAAGGGTTGAGATGAGCCAGCCAAGATTCCCCAAGCCTGTGACCATCACAGATCTGAAGGTAAAGCAGTGAACCTGTGTGCCTGACACAGATGGAACCACATGATTTAGCTTCTATGCCCACAAAAGGGCCTATTTGCAGGTGACAAACATGTTAAGTCAGAGCTCCTTGATCAAATTCAAAGGCTGCTAGGATGTGTCAGTTTAAAGATGCTGGTTGCTAGCCCTGTGCAGTCGACCAACTAGAGATGTACATTACTTGGTTCAAAAGAAGAGGGGACACAGCACTGCTCGAGGTACTGCTCAAGCACAGGCCCGAGGCCCCCGTACAGATCAGGGGATGAAGATCCTTGGCCACGGCTAAACAGAGCCCAGGCTGTTACACAAGAAGGCAACTATATGACTGTCAGCAGAGATGCATATTTCAGATTGAGCTGCATCCCAAAACCTTGATGAAATGGAAAAACCTGAAGCTGAGCTGGGGACAGTTTGGACAGAGGTAAGAAAAGCTAACGTGCAGGACAGCTTGTGCCAATCTGCCCACTGGAATCTGTGCCAGCCCCTCGGCCTACTTGCATTCTTTTCTGAAACACTAAGATATTCCCTACGGTTGCATTGGGATCCACTTTGAGGGGAAATTCATGAATTTATGGAATCACAAAGGGACAAAGGATTCATTCCATGGTGTGAGGTAATCAACTGAAACAGCCATGACAAATTTTGACACAGACACACTTTAGCCCCTTAAATATGTTGGACCATTCTTTTATTCCCACAAAGAAACATGTGTTCTCCCACTTTCCCTAAAATATATAGCACTCTTGGGTATATCTCCCCCTCATTCTTTTTTATTTTGGCTTAAAAAAAATTTTTTTTTAAGATTTTTATTTATTTATTTGACAGACAGAGATCACAGATAGGCAGAGAGGCAGGCAGAGAGAGAGAGGAAGGGAAGCAGGCTACCTGCCGAGCAGAGACCCCGATGTGGGGCTCGATCCCAGGACCCCGGGATCATGACCTGAGCCGAAGGCAGAGGCTTTAACCCACTGAGCCACCCAGGCTCCCCCTACCCCAAATTTTTTTTATTAAAAAAGTATTATTAGTTTCAGGTAGAATTTAGTGGATTCATCACTTATATATGGCACCCAGTGCTCATCCCAAGTGCCCTCCTTAATGCCCATCACCCAGCTACCCAATCCCTCACCCACTCCCCTCCAGCAACCCTCAGCTTATTCCCTATGGTTAAAGAGTTTCTTATGGTTTGCCTCCCTGTTTTCATCTTATTTTATTTTTCCTTCCCTTTCCCTATGTTCGTCTGTTTCTTAAATTTCACACATAAGTGAAATCATACGATAACTGTCTTTCTCTGACTTATTCTGCTTAGCATAATACCCTCTTATCCCACCCATGTCATTGCAAATGGTAAGATTTCATTCTTTTTGATGGCTGACTAATAGTCCATTGTGTGTGTGTGTGTGTGTGTGTGTGTGTGTGTGTGTGTGTGTGTGTGTGTATCTCACCTCTTTTTTATCCATTCATCTGTTGATAGACATCTGGGCTCTTTCCATAGTTTGACTATTGTGGACATTGCTGCTATAAACATTGGGGTACGGGTGCCCCTTTGAATCACTATGTTTGTATCCTTTGGATAAATACCTAGTGATGCAATTGCTTGGTCACAGGGTAGCTCCTCCTAATTTTTAATGATGTGGATGGGTACTTACCACTCACTATGAGATTAGAGATTTTTGTCTCCTCGTTTCCCCTCTGTATAATAGCGCCTAACATACATCAGGCACTCAAAAATTAATTAACTTCCTTCTGATCATTACTACAGAGAATAGTAAAGTCTACACAAGGTGGTGGGGGCAGGGGAAGACCACAGGAAACTAAAGCAATGGCTCACATATAGGAACAGCCACTACATAACTCCAGATAATCAGTGCCATAAGAATGTGGACCCAGATCTGCTAGTTCCTAAAGATAACCTGGGAACTCAAAACTGTATGTGAAATATCCACATGTAAACACTGGTGACAATCACATTTTAAATTAACACTGGACAGGCTGACACTACAGAGCTAAAGGAAACACATCTGAAAGCCTGAGTCTCTGAGCATAGTTTCCTGTCTGATCTAGTCTAACCCCCCATCTTACTGATGGCCAGGGGAAAAAGTCCCACAGCCAGTGGTACACAAAGTGGGGGGGGGGGTGGAATACACACACACACACACACACACACACACACACACACACGCACACACACACACACACGCACACACACACGCGCGCGCGCACACACACA